GTGGCAGCGAAAGAATGCTTATCTCAAACATTAAAATGAAGAGTTTTCATACTAGAGCAAGTACGTTACACCAAGACATCCACCATTAATTGTGAAAGTACGTGTGGAGTGATCGGTTTGCCGTAATTTTTTTCTTGGGAGATAAGCAAGATGAAATAATGATTCCCACAAAATTTCTAGAGCAAGTACATTACACCAAGGCATCCACCATGACCTTGTGCTTACAACCATCACCCATTAATTGTGAAAGTACATGTGGAGTGATCGGTTTGCTGTAATTTTTTTCTTGGGAGATAAGCAAGATAAAAGAATGATTCCCACAAAATTTCAGATTTTTTTGACGGGTGTAGCTATTTTTTCTAATTTCATATTATTTAATGTTGAAAAATTCATTAAAAAAAATTGATTGGTTGAAAAATTATGAAACTTGATTTATAGATCCATTAGAATGTCCCATTCATGAATCAATCGAGTTCCTGGAAAAAAAGATTGTAAAACTCGAGATATTCGACCGTATGACGGCTCAGAAAAATCGTGTCTAGGCCTGGCAGACCAAAAATGCCTCAAAATGTACTATATAGGGGGGTGACTAGTCTGCATGGGCTGGCCACGGGGGCGCCCCCTATATCCTCCGCCACCCCCACGCCCCAAGCACTATGCGCCGCACATGGGCATATGCTTGGGGTGTGGGGGTGGTGGTTGGCAGACGACGACGGTTGACGGCGGTGTTGCGGTGGCGAAACTTGCAGGTTCGAGGTAGTTGTCGGTCGCGCCTTCGGGCGTGCAACATGAGCCTTGTTGCGATAGGTCTGTTGCGATGTTGCCTTCTAACTTGGGCTGCCTTGAGGATGGTGGATGGTCGGTACGACGACAAAGCGTGCAAGGTGGGGTGGAGTTGGGTGCCTTCGGGCGTCCAACATGAGCCTCGTTGAGCGTGCGACGTTGTGGTGACGCCGTCGGGCCATCCTTGGGGCAGCCCTATGTTTGGAAGGCGTGTGGTGCCAGGACATGTTCGGCTGGTTGGAATCGGGTGCCTTTGGGCGTGCGACATGAGCCACGTCGAGCGCGAAACGTTGCAATGTTGCCTTCTAACTGGGAATCTCTGGTGTGAGGACTGTGGATGGCTGCTGGTACGATGATGAAACATTCAAGGTGGGGTGGAGCTGGGTGCCTTCGTGCGTGCGGCATGAACCTCGTTGAGTGTGGGACGTCGTTGTGGCATGCCTCCCTTCCTTGGGCCAGCCCTATGTTTTGAAGGCTGCGTGGTGGCAGAACATGCTTGGTGGGGCGGAGTCAAACGACTTTGGGCGTGCGACATGAGACTAGTTGGGCATGGAATGTCGCCTTCTAACTTGGGCTGCCTTGAGGATGGTGGATGGTCGGTACGACGAAAAAGCGTGCAAGGTGGGGTGGAGTTGGGTTCCTTCGGGCGTCCAACATGAACCTCGTTGAGCGTGCGACGTTGTGGTGACGTCGTCGGGCCATCCTTGGGGCAGCCCTATGTTTTGAAGGTTGCGTGTTGGCAGAATGTGAACGGTTGGGCGGTGTCAAGTGCCTTCGGGCGTGTGACGTGAGCCTCGCTTTGCACGGAAGGTTGCGATGCTGCCTTCAAACACAGGCTGTCTCTAGGATGGTTGATGGCCTGACCGCGCACGACGCTTTGGGCTTGGCTTCGAATGATAATTTTGAACCCCCGCTTGCGGTGGGTGTGAATAGTCGATCGTCGTCCAAGAACGTTTTAGCGTACGACGCATGAGTGGTGATTTGGTTGCTTGGGTCTGTAGGCTTGATGCTCGGGCATCAAACTGTAGGCGACATCTCCTCCTCATTGGTGTGTCCAAAACTATTTTGAGTGACCGTAGTCCATTGGTTCTTGCACAAATTACCTCGTGCACCGGTAGGGATCGAGTCTTGTTAGTCCCTTTCTGTCAGCACCCTTGTTGGGTGGATGATGAACTTGGAAGCCCGCTTTGCATATCGCTATAAACCTTTTGAATGGGTTGTTGCGAAATGTGTGTCGGTTGCTTGCACTCTCGGATGCCGTGCATCTGGCGGCATGATGTGCTTGGGAAAACCCCTGAAACAATGTTGCCTATGCTATTATTGCTAAACGAAGCATGAAAGAATGACGCTTGCTCTTGCGTTGCCACCGTTGTTGCCTCTCTCACGCTCCATTTGGAGGGGGAGGGTGGTGAAATGTGGTGGCATGCGGTTTGGAACGTTGTGTTGGAATGCTACCTGGTTGATCCTGCCAGTAGTCATATGCTTGTCTCAAAGATTAAGCCATGCATGTGTAAGAATGAACTAATTCAGACTGTGAAACTGTGAATGGCTCATTAAATCAGTTATAGTTTGTTTGATGGTATTTGCTACTCGGATAACCGTAGTAATTCTAGAGCTAATACGTGCAACAAACCCCGACTTCTAGAAGGGATGCATTTAT